GGTCATGGGGGTCAAGGGTTTAGAGCGTGCTTTTGGGGTGAACAAGGGTTTAGTCTGCTCCTCACGATGACCCTCGAAGCATGTAAGTCTTGAGAAGCCCCAAACCAGACTTAGAGTTTAGGGATTGTAGGGCTCCCCTAAACCCTAAACCCTAAACCCTAAACCCTAAACCTCTAGGGTTTCGGTCTTGTAGGGCTTCAGTTAGGGTCTGGGGTTATCTGTTGTAGTATGGTGTTTCTTCGGGTGCCCAGAAAGGGACCGCAATTCACAGAGCTGAGGCTATCTTGTGTAGGCTGCTGTGAGCGCGCGTTCGGAGTGCTTGTGGGGTTATGTGGGGTTTAGGGTTCAAGGTTTGTTTAGGGCCGTATGTTGGGGTAGAGTCCCATTCCGAATGGTCTCATACTACACCCTTTAAAGCCTCAACCCTATACTTCCCCCCATGAAAGGGTTTAAGGCTTCGGGGCTGGACTAGCACGACTCTCAAAAGCCCCAAACAAGGCTTAAAGTCAGATCTGGGGCCTACTTTCAAAGGGTTCAGAGTTCGGGGATCAGGGCTGAGGGCATTGAAGGATCCCTCCTCCTAGGATAGGCCCTTATTCTCTCGTTTTTTAGGGCTTAGGTTCCCTTATAAACCCCTTTGAGCTAAAATGGGCACCCTTTCATTCCTGCGGTACTCCCCAGTCTGGCCTCTGTCACCCTTTATAGCTCACGCCCTCGCACTCCTCGAACTGCAGAGGAGTTCTTCTTCTCCAAGTTTATGAACCTTCAGCGCACGCTGGCGCTGCCCTCGTCAGAGTCGCCGCGGGCCTAGGCTGCGTAAGCCCTACACCCTCAGCTTGTGCTCTGGTTGTAGCTGGGCCTGAGTAATATTCTGGCGGTCGTATGGAGTCTGCATGCTCAACTAAGCTTTATGCTTGTCTTTTTGTTTGGGCAAAGGGAAGGGGGGGTGTCCGGGGGGTGGTTAAACACCCTGAACTCTGAACCCTAAACCCGACAACCCTATACACTCTAAGCCCCATGTTGGAGGTAGTAGAGAATCATTATCTGTCATTTTGGGCGGGGGGTTCCTAGGCAAATAGGCAGATTAAACCCTAAACCCCACGTTGGAGGTAGTAGAGAATCAAGAACCCAAAGCCCTAAAAACCCTACACACTCTAAACCCCAAACCCTAAACCCCAACACACTCTAAACCCCAAACCCTAAACCTTAAACCCTAAACCCTAAACCTTAAACCCTAAACCCTAAACCCCAAACCCTAAACCCGAAACCCTAAACCCTAAACCCAGTAGAGAGTCTAGATCGCTGAGGGGGGAGACGGTCTTGAAGGGCCACGTCAACATCGAGAAGGTCGGCTCCGATGTCCAGGAGACCAGTCGACCAGTCGTTCATTCTCAGGGTTTAGGGTTTAGGGTTTAGGGTTTAGGTTTTTTTCGGGTTTAAGGTTTAGGGTTTAGGGTTTAGGGTTTAGGGTTTAGGGTTTAGGGTTTAGGGTTTAGGGTGGCCTCAGGGCGTAGGTTTAGGGTTTAGGGTTTAGAGTTTAAGGGTTAGGGTCTCGGGTATACCTTAGGTACCCTAAATGGTTGCAGGCTACGTGCCTTGGAGAAAAGAACACAGTTTTGGGTTACTTGATCCGAACTCACAAGTGCAGCCTTCGAAGGATTTAGAGTTTAGGGTTTAGGGTTTAGGGTTTTGGGTTTAGGGTTTAGGGTTTAGGGTTTAAGCAATCAGCCACATGTACAAAGCAGGAGGCCGGACGAAATCTGGATGCTCGGCAGCAGCAACCTTCCAGATATAGGTTTCAGGGCTTAGGTCTCACCCTCAACACTAACCCTGAACCCCTAACTGTTGTCTCTTTGAGGGGTTTAGGGTTTAGGGCTTAAGGCTTAGGGCTTAGGGCTTAGGGCCTGTAGAAGCCTAGACCCGAAGCCGACTTATAACGACATTGGTGTACTTAAAGGGACTTATCAGCAGTGGGCTATAAGTGCAGTGATAACTGGGTTATCAGCACCGCGAACCTGCAATTAGGAGCTTGGATGTCCCACAACGGTTTAGGGTTTAGGGTTTAGGGTTTAGGGTTTAGGGTTTAGGGTTTAGGGTTTAGGGTTCGAGCTCTTGGGATTTCAGCAGAGCGCTCAACCCACCCACCCACACACACAGACCACACTTCAGGTTCTTTTGGTGGAGAGTTCAAGCTCACAAAGGGCTGGTGGTCCGCCTTTTTGAGGTTTTGGGGGTTGAGGGTTGCGAGTTTCTGCAGGAGCTATTCTTTGGGGCTACTGACGCATCTGGGGGCTATGTGTGCCCCCTACGCCCGAAGCTCCAAAACCCTAAGCTTGTTTGGGGCCCCTACCGACTTCCAGAATTTCCTGCTGCCCTATGGCTTGGGGTTTAGAAGCCCAAACAGACAACTCCGGGCCAAACGGTATACCCTAAACCCTAAGCCCTAAACCCCTGTAACCCTAAACCCCTGTAACCCCAAACCCTAGTAACCCTAAACCCTAAACCCCTTGCACCCTTCACCCCAAGCCCTAATCCGATGCCAAGGATGGCAATGAGTTTGCCGAGCTGCCCTCAGCAGTTGCAGACTGTCAGTCTACACCCTGAAAACATCTGAAAACCCTCTAGGGTTTTCAGGGTTTAGGGTTAAGGCTTTGGCCTAAACCCTAAACCCTAAACCCTAAACCCCAAACCCCAAACCCCAAACCCTAAACCCTAAACCCTAAACCCTAAACCCCCGGGCCCAACCCCTGAACCCCAAACCCTAAATGTCGGAGCCGTGTGCCTTCGGCCTTCGGCTCCTCAATCTCAGGCCACAGTGTGCCTGTTCGGTTTTGGTGTTTAGGGTTTAGGGTTTATAGGGTTTATAGGGTTTAGGGTTTAGGGTTTAGGGTTTATCCGGAGTTTAGGGGATTTGAGGTTGTTGTCTTAGTAGGCAGGGTTTGGGAGCTTAGAGAGCGGCAAGGGGCAAGACTTAACTCTAAAAGCTCTAAGCCCGAAAGAGTTTTAGGGCTTACAGGGTTCGAGGTGTCCCTAAACCCTTAACCCTTAAACCCTATAAATCCTAAACCCCAATCCCTAAAACCCTACTCTGGCATTTGGAGCCGACGAGCGACGACTTCAAGATGTCGGTGAGGCGACGAGGTCAGTTCACGCTGGACGTGACGCGAATGCAGTTTGGTCTGGCGCCCTTTAAAGCAGGAACTTACAACAATGCCCAGGGCAAGACCATTCGAGAGGCGGATGGCACTCCTTTGCGACACTGCATCGACTTTGCGAGCCTGAACTTCTTCCATCTGCATAGTGCTGGGCAGCTGCACCCAGCGCGATTCCAGAGGGACGTCGGCTCCACGGTTTAGGGTTTAGGGGTTTACGGGTTTAGGGGATATAGGGGTTTAGGGGTTTAGGGTTTAGGATTTAGGGCTGCAAGGGTTTAGGGTTTAGGGTTGCAGGGGTTCAAGGGTCTAGGGTTTAGGGCTGCAGGGGTTTAGGGTTTAGGGGTACAGGGGTTCAGGGTTTGGGTTACAGGCGTTTTGGGGTTTAGGGTTACAGGGGTTCAGGGTTTAGGGTTACAGGGGTTTAGGGTTACAGGGGTTTAGGGCTTAGGGTTTAGGATAGGGCTTGCGGGGTGTAAGCCCTGAAGCCTCGGCCCTCGTCGGGATTGGGGTTAGGGTTTAGGGTTTAGGGCTTAGTTCTTTAGAGTTTAGAGTTTAGGGCTTAGGGTTTAGGGTTAAGCGTTAAGGGTTTAGGGCCGTTTAGGGTTTAGGGCAAGACCATTGGAATTGTCGGCCATGGCTGCAAGAGTGTGGCTCTCAATGCTGCAGCCTTGAATACTTAATGGGGTTCCCAGGGTCCATGTACATGCATAGGGAATACTTGGGCCTTAAAGTTAGAACTTGGTACATGGATCCTTCGAGTTTCTTAAGGGAGCTACAGTAACCTTAGACTTCTAGCCAAGTGCCAAAGTGTTGCCGGGGTTTAGGGTTTAGGGTTTAGGGTTTAGGGTTTAGGGTTTCAGGGTTTAGGGTTTAGGGTTTAGGGGGGGAGGGGGGGGGCGGGGACATGCTCCTTTTTTTGGTTCCTTTCTGTGGTCAAGATCCCTAAGCCCCAAACTCTAAACCCTGAATCTACACAAGAGCAGGCTTCGGTTTAGGGTTTTTAGAGTTGAGGGATAAACCCTAAAGCCTAAAGCCTACAGCCTAAACCCCTAAACCCTAAACCCTAAACCCTAAACCCTAAACCCTAAACCCTAAACCCTAAACCCTAAACCCTAAACCCTAAACCCTAAACCCTAAACCCTAAACCCTAAACCCTAAACCCTAAACCCTAAACCCTAAACCCTAAACCCTAAACCCTAAACCCTAAACCCTAAACCCTAAACCCTAAACCCTAAACCCTAAACCCTAAACCCTAACCCTACTATGAGCCCCTGGTGCAAGGTCGAGAACTTATGGACGACCAACACGGTCTTTGTCACGCTCACGCTTTGCATCTCGGCCTAGGAGCCCTGAGAACTGCGTCCACATCCGATTGGGGGTTTAGGGTTTAGGGCTTAGGGTTTAGGGTTTAATAGGGCTTAGGGCTAGGTAGGGTCTAGGGTTTAAACTAAGTAGGGTTCAGGGTTCAGGGTTCAGGGGTTCAGGGTTCAGGGTTTAGGGTTTAGGGTTTAGGGTTTAGGTGGTGGTGGTGGTGGTGTTGCCAGTCAGCAGGCGCGGACCGGGCAGTGGGTGGAGGCAGGGGAGCCTCCTCTGCAGATCCTGACCCAACACCCACAGATCGTCAGAGCGGGACACATGTGGGCCCCACACGGACAGATGGTGGGCAGTGGGGCAAAGGGAGCAGCAGGACATGTTTTATTGGCGGTGCGCAAAGGGGATGGTCCCCTGCCCCAAACACACCTCAGCGGACGCGAGACGTAGTCGCGACAGATCGAGGGTGTGGAGCACCATCACCTTCCCCACACGAGACAGGCAAGCCGGACTCGGGAGGGGGCACAGCAGGAATTACGCATGCCTTTTCTTTGTCCAGAATGCCATGCTCTCACGCACAATCATCAGTGCCACATGCGCTACATCGGCAAACATAGCGTTGGAGGCCTGCACATTTAAGAGCAACCGCGCGCGGTCCCTTGGCGGAAGGTTCGGACCCGGGTCCGGCAGGCCTGGAGAGAGGCTTACGAAGCACTCACCTAACACATGGATATAGGGCGCATAGGTCTTCTTCCCGCAGAACACGCAACACCTTACCTTGGCAGCCGAGCGGTGGCCATCGACGTGGGAAAGGTGTACCGTACCAGCACGGAGTTGACAGAGGGCGCGATGACCCACAAGAGCAGACCAGGGGAGGCGCAGGCGCAGCAGGGAGGCAGGAACCGAGGAGGGACCCGACGAGAGGACCGACCAGGCGAACGGCACGGAGTGTGACGCGCAGGAGAGCACAAGGGAGGAGACAGCAGCAGAACAAAGGCGAGACCGGACAAGACTGGCATAAGCAGCGAGCGAGCAACAACCTGCTTCTGGGAAGTCCGGGATGTCATACTGCTTGAGGAGCTCCAGGCTTTTGGCAGACCATGATTCCGGGCAGGCCAAGGCCCTGCGAAACATCTGGGCGTAGATGTCCTCATTTGCCATGCACCACAGCTTTGCCCTTCGCTTTGCCACATCAAGAACAGCACGGTGGCGGCCCATGAGCTGCCAACCTAATTCCAGATGTGCCACAGCGGGTGACCTCCAGGGCGGGCTGCCGAGCAAGGCACAGCTCCAGCGGTTGAAGGCCTTGTCGTACAAATCCAAAGCGCCTTCAGAAGTAGCGAGGAGCCAGCGGCCGAAACGAAGTAGACCCTCCACCTTGGCCTCAAAGAGCATTAGGGCAAAACACAGCGGCAAGCCCCCGGATTCCATGAGGCCTGTAATGTTGGCGACAATTTGACCAGCTTGACCAAGTTGAGCAGAGAGGCACGGGAGGAAGTCCAGGTCAGCCGGCCACAAAAGGCCCAGCCAGCGATGGCGCTGTTTATCATGAATGGCGCAAGGCAGATTGCCAGGAATATTCATGACTAGCCCCGGCCCCACGGCTGAGTCAGGAACCAGTGCAACTGTTTTGTCAGGGCCTACGTGAAATGCCGCCTTGTGCAAAAATGCCCATTTAGCCATGCAGTCCAGAGCAGCTTGTGCAGCCCCCGAACTTGACGAGAGCAATACTGGGTCGTCAGCATGTAGTACAAGCACCAGTCTGGAGGGTGCACCCAAGTCCATTGCCCTAAGACAGGAGGCCATACAAGAAGCGTCCTGTTGTATGAGGTCCACACTGGGGAGCTCCCCTTTGCCAAGGAGCCCTTGGCGTATGTCAGTAACCCAAGTTTCGTCTGGCACGCCGCACCACGACCATTGTACATGACGCCACGCTCCAGGCACTTCGCTGCTCAGGCCCACGCCGTGACCATGTTCAAGCAAGAAGAGGGTCAGGGAGTTGAGCCAGGTGTTGAAGCCAGCGGGTCCGACGACCCCACCCTCAGGCACCCCTTCGGTTTTCATAAGCCTTGAGAAGCCAGCAAGCGTCATGGTCGGCGAGTCCCACGCCAATATGTCAGCCAGGAGAGCGCGTCCTCCATGCTGTAGGTTCGACTGGAGAGATATTTGAGTGAGGAAATCGTCCCTCCACGTCCTCGGGAAGGCTTTGGCAAGGTCCCCGAAGACAGGCAACGTTGGCAGACCCATGTTCAGCCTCGTAGTCACCACTTCGTGGAGCAAAAGGTGGGCGTCAGAGACGTCCCTCACATAGCCCGATTGTCCAGGAACAAGAGCGTTGGTGAGAAGAGGACGTAGGCGGTTGATGAACACAGACTCGTGTAGCAAGGCAATTTGGGACCTGACTTCCAGAAAGCGCCAATTTGAGGCCAGGGCCAGGAAGCCTTGCTTGTGTTTTGGAACCACGAGAGAGCGGCGCCAGAGGTCAGGTTTAAGAGCCAGGCAGGCAGGTCCTGTCAGCTTCACCAGCAGGAAGCACACATCACCCCACGCCTTGGACATCACCGTGTAGGCTGCCCTAGGTATGAGGTCGGGTGTGGTGGCTCGCGAGCGGTCCCAGTTTTGTAGAACATGTTGAGTTTCGACAGCAGTGACTGTCTGGTCCAAACTGCCTTTGCCACGTTTGGACCAGGAGCGCGGGTTCTGCACTTTGCATTCATGTGTTATGTGCTCATGGACGTCCAGGGCCCAGTCGTTGGGCCAGGAAGACTGGTTCACGAAAGCCCTGCACCACTCCTTGTGCGCAGACTCACCCGTCACAGTTTCTTCACCACTAAGTAGCCATTGCGGCGGCCGAATTTCATCCGCCTTTAGGAGTCTGAAGCATTTCTGGGCTAGAGCACAGGGGGCCTCCCCTTTATCGCATTGCTTGCCCAAAGTGTTGGTATTTCTTTCTTTGGACGAACCGCCCAGCCGTCCAGCGCGATAGCACCTATGAGTGCGTGCACCCATGCAGCCGCATTGCCCAACCACACCGCAGCATGGCGCGGGAGGCACTGGCAACACTTGTAGCCTGCGGCGTTTCCAAGCACAGCATCAAGCGTTGCTGCAAAGCAGCCCAGTGTCGTTGCACAGGCCTTCCACGCATCATGCCAGCGTTTTTCATCATGGAGCCAGTTTGGCACGCAGGAGTTGTCAGTCCGCTCTGGGAGCAAAAAGAGCTCGCTCAAATCAGCATGCACAAGGAAATGGTCTCCCCTGGTGTACTCTTGGCACAGGGGCAGCGTACATTGAGACTCACTGCAGCACTGCAAGGAGTTGTGTATTGTGACATTGAGAACAAGGCGCTGAGAAGCTAGGACCAAGTCAATAGCCCTTGACGCGCCTCCCGCCGGGTGGTGGTGGGTATCGCCTGGTCGGATAAGCACTGTCTTCCCCCGCAGGGGCAGCTCGACTTCCACAGCCTGACTGCCCTGGAGGCCGGGGTTTGCGATGGCAAGCTTGTGTTTTGCAGTAAAGACATTCCACGCAGCTTCTCTTGCTTGCCTACGATCAGGCCCAGCACCTAAGGCACTTGGCTGAATGTTCATGTCCCCAATAAGCAGCACATCTAAATGACCATCTCCTACACCAAACTTTTCTTGCAAGAGGCAGAGGTCAGCTGACAGGCACTTCAGTTCACTGCACCATGCTTCATCCCCATGGGTGGCATTATCAGGCGGAAGGTATACAGCAGAGATTACAAGTGGAGGCCCCTGCTTACGGGGCGCCAGGATGTGCACACGCCTTGGTCCTCCCACTTCAGTGATAGGAGTCAAACCTCGCAATTCGCTACGCCAGAATACTGCGCAGCTGTCGTAGTTAGCACCCCTGTGGCAGACACACTGCAGCCCCCATTTTTCAGGAGGCTTGAAGTCTTGAGGCAGCCGCGCCCCTGGCAAGGCAAGCATATCAAGGTCCAGGCCCCTGAACGCTTGCAAAATTCCTGTTTTGCAGTCCGTGAAGGTGGACCATTTGACATTATCACCTCTTGCAGCCATGCATCCTGTGCAGCTGGGCGAGCCCAGACCCACCCGCAACAAGTTACGCGTGACTTCCTGGCAAGCACTGGCAGCATGTCTGTAATGTTCAACGCGCGTTTGGGCCAGCTTATGCCCAAACTGAACAGCAGAGTGTAGGTTCTCCGCAAGATCCCTCATGTTACTGCCAAGAGAGTTCAAGTGGGCAAGCACTCTCTGCGCAGTAGCAACTAGCCAGCCGCTTTCGTGAGATAAGCACAGCCAGTTTTGACGAAGCATTTCAGCTGCAAAATGCTGCACATCTCGTTGCAAGGTGCCCTGCGCAGTCAGAGTCTGTAGTGAATCCAAGAGTTGCCCTTTCATTGCAAGAGGTGTTTCGCCTCCTGCGCTTGTAGCCAAAAGTGCCACGACGCAACCAAAATCAAGAAGAAGGAGAGGAAGACGAGAGAGAGAGAGAGAGAGAGAGAGAGAGAGAGAGGGAGAGAGAGAGAGAGAGAGAGAGAGAGAGAGAGAGAGAGAGAGAGAGCAACAAAGAAGCAGAAGAAGAAGAAGAAGAGAGGAAAAAAAAAAAACACAGAGTGGGCCCCTTACCGAGAGCATAGCGCAGCACCACAGGCGAGAGACCGAGGTGCAAGCAGCAATGAGGGGCGAGACCGCCTGTTTTCTTGCCCCAGCGCAGCTGCTGGCAGCTTTGTCCTCTTGAAGCAACTATCACGATAGCGCCCCGTTTTTTAAAAAAGAAAAGAGAGAGAAACCCTCACACGACATACTGGCTGGCGGCCGCTGATTTAGTACGGCTGCCCTCTGAAAGCAGCCAGGGACGGCTTCACCCTTTGGGCAGCTTGGCTACTTGTACTCACTCTTTGTTGAGTCCAATCTCGGACCATCGACGCTAGATGTTGTCGCATTGCGGGGTTTCCTTGGATCACGACCTTGCCCGACAGATAGACGTTCACGCTCCCTCCATTCGGCCCCTTACAGTGCACGCCGATGACCTTGGAGCCTGTGGAGTCATACAACAAGTCAGCCTGCCCTTCACGGTTCCACAAAGGCGCACCGGGCGGGTACTGTGCCATCCATTGCAGGATGGTGTTGGCATCCGGCAGCATACCATTAGGGAGTGTCTGGACTTGCAGGTTGAAGACTTGAATTGTCGAGGAGGAAGGCAACGAGGGCAGCGCGACGCTTGCCTGGGCTATTGGCCTCGGTGGTTCCCATTGCTGCGTTGGCGGGGCAGGCAATGGCTGCGAGCGCCATGGCGGCAGCATAGCAGAAGCCTGAGGCTCCCCGGTTTCTTGGCCACTGCGTTCCGTCCTAGGCTCTTGCGCGGGCAATGTTCCCTCCACAGCATCGTCTGGGTTCTGCAATAGGCTTGCCAAACTTGCAGAGGGGGACAGCAGCTGGCTTGCTAAGCTTGTCGGCACTTGTGTCGCTCTTGCTTGTGCCCTTTCGAAAGCATGCAAGATAGGATACACAGGTTGTGCATCCTCCATACTTTCATCGCACTGTGTCGTCTCTTGGGTTGCAGGGCTGTCTGCCCCTGCCGCACAGAAGCTATCACTTGGAACAGAAGGCGGCAACGTGTCTGCTTCAGCAATCAAGGACTCACGCACACGTTCCCGCACGCGTGCCTGGTAGGCCCCCGGCTCCTTAGTTTCTTTCCAGATTGCCGCCTTTTCGTCAGGGTGGTTGCTTAGCCACTCTTTGATCTGCTCCTTTGTGACAGCTTCAGCCGCCCATGAGAGAGTTAGCAACAGCAACCCGCCAATCATGGCAACTGAGTGCACCTACAAAGCCAGGAGCAGCCTTTCTTAAAAGATCGAGGCAGCGCCTGCGGCAGCAGAGCTCTCTTTGCATCACAAGGAAAAAAATAACAGGCAGCAGCATGTTTTTTTTTCGGGGGTGTAGCAGCGCCGATGGCCTTGTGGCTTGCTGATCGGTCAGCCCGCAGTGCCCACAGATCACTTATCTTCCCCAACAGCAAGCCTTTAAGGGTTTGCTGGTTCGACCAGATGCAGTGTGCGCAGAGCTTGTGCTTAACAAGCAGAATGCCAAAAAACGAGCAGTCACATGCTTTTTCTCCCAAAACCCCCCCCAAAAAAAAAAAACTTCATGCGCAATGTCTTCTGGAGAGTCTCAGAGATCAAGGCCTTTCTGGAGGCCCTGCATTCCAGGCCTCACATCCTGTGAGAGAGAGAGAGAGAGAGAGAGAGAGAGAGAGAGAGAGAGAGAGAGAGAGAGAGAGGGGGGGGGTGACATGGTGATGAGCGGCTTTATGTTGACTAGCTGCCTTACGAGGTAGCGGAAGACCCAAGCGGCCGTAACAAAGTGGCAGGTTTTCGGAGTTCGATTCATGTTTTGCCTGCTGCAATGTAAGCTCCTGCGTCCCTCCTTTTTCTCTCACACGCACACACATATACACACACATACGCTCCCATCCAAGAGGCTGTTTCCTTAGTCAGGGCGCTCACTCGCAACCCAACAGAAACCATACAGGGACCACACACACACAACCTTTCACGCTGTCACACCCAAGGCACAAAGACCTTAGTCAGGGCAGAGTTGCGCGCACACACACACACACACACACCCGCACACCGACAAAGAGTCACCCCCTCACCCCAAAACTCCTTAGTCGTACTCACACCCAGGCACCCACACACACATCCAAGTCACCAAATAAAGTCCTTGGTACCTTGGTCAGGGCGCGTTCGAGTGCACACGCAAACTCTCACCCTCCCTCACACACACACAAACACACCCACACTCACACACACTCACACCCGCACACAAGCACACACACTTATCCTAGTTGTCCCCAACTCCATCCACAAGTCCTTAGTCCGGGCATTCTCACATTTCCAAAGACTTGAGCAGACGACACACACCCGCGCTCGCACACACGCACAAGTAGTCACACAGACCCAGCAGCCCAAATCTCCTTAGTCAGGCGCACTCACACACAGGCACACACACGCGCATCCAAGTCACCAAATACAGTCCTTGGTACCTTGGTCAGGGCACATTCGCGCGCGTGTACAGACACAAACAGCCGCACACACACGCACGCCGCACCCAGCAAATACTAATCCCAGTCCCCCCCCCCCCTCATCTTTCAGTCCTTAGTCCAGCCGTTGTCAGAGCAGATGACAGACACACACACTCGTACACACAGTCAACACACGCATACACGCAGACGGACAGGCACACTCGCATCCAAGTCACAAACAATGCCCTTAGTGAGGGCGCTGTCTCACACACACACACACTCGCACACACATCCAAAGCCCCAAAGTAACACACTCCCATCGGGGTGTCAGCGCATCTCTGCCCCCCCGATCACCCCTTCGAAAAAAAAAAGAAAGAAAAAGTCTTCTGCAGAAGCATGGGCCCCAGGCCAAAAACAATGGCTGCGGCTCAGCAAACATGCAAGCACAAGGGATGCTCAGGGCTTAGGGTCCTAAACCAGGGCTCAGGGTTTACGGTTCAGGGTTAGGGTTAAGGGTTAGGGTTTAGGGTTCATTGCTTGGGGTTTAGGGCTTCGGAGGATCGGGGCACTTAGTAAGTCGGGTTATAAATTCCTTACTTCGGGGCCACAAGTATCCATGACTATGGTTCCCTTACGTAAGGTTCGCTTAAAAGCCCCATGACTGGGGTTGATGTAGAGTAGTTGAAAGTTCCATAGCCCTAATCCCTATATAGCCTAATCCTGAATGAAGCACGCGATTTTCCTGTCGCGTCATGATGGTTTGCGTAGCCTTTGGCTTTTCGAATCCCGGGGTCCGGGTTTGGGTTTAGAAGGGGGTATATATTGCAAAAGCCGAAGCTCTGCGCAAAACCTTGAAGCCTGTCCCAGGCACCTTCACACGCCTCGACTTCCATCTAGGCAGCGCAATCCGTGCTTGGGATCAGCAGTGGGGGCGAGGGCCTTAGGGTTTTGGAGTAGAAGCCCCAAGCCCTAAACCTTGAATCTAAGCCCTAATCAAACCTTAATATTTAGCCCTGAAACCTAGACCCTAACCCTAGAAACGAAGCTTTATACCCTAGGGCCCTAGGGCTCAGAATTTAGGGTTCAGGGGGTTCAGAGTTTAGGGATCGGGGTTGAGGGTCTAGTGTTAGTGTCTTGGACTCGCAGTAGTGGTTCGAGTTTGGGGGGTCCGGCGTTAAAGGTTTTGGGTTCGCAGTAGGTTCAGGCTTTAGGGTTTAGAGTCCAGGTTTGAAGGTTTAAATTTGTACGAGGTTTGTTGTTAAGGGTTTAGAGTTCAGGTTTGAAGGTCTAGGGTTCAGGGGATCACAATAGTTCATTCGTTCCTTCAGGGTTGCGATGTTTGCACAGGGGTCTCTGAGATGCGCTGGAATCACAAGTCGCAAGTTCCTTTTCGGCCCAAAAGCCCTAAACCCTGAATCCTATATAGTAAGCCCTGAATCCTCGTTCAGGGTTTCTTGGGAACCCCGGAACCTCACGGCCCCAAAGCCCAGTCCTGCTGCCAGACTGCTCGGAGATATACTTCAAGCTCCAGCTCGGCAACGAGGAGGTTCAGACGCAGGCGGGTTTACTCTTACCCTCAAGGTCCATGTGCCAAAATGGGGAGTACTTGGTCCTTAGAGTACCTCCTATAATATATGGACTTTGGGGGCAAAGTATATAATAATGAGGTACATGGACCCTTAGGGTTAGGGCTCAGGCGGTTCAGGGTTTAGGATGGATAGGGTTTCGGGTCAAGGGTTGCCCTGAACCTCTGCATCCCAAAACCGAAAGCCCCAGGCTTTAGGGTATAGGGGCATAAGGAGCTGACCAAGGGTGTAGGATTTGAGGTTGAGGGTCTATGGCCACTAAACAAATCCTAAGCCTTATAAGGGCTTGGGGTTCAAGATTACGCCTCTTGACACGAACGGTACATTCCACGCCCCCAAGCCCTAAAGCCAAAACCTCAAACCCTAATATCCCAACCCTAAAACTCCATACGCGAAACCCTAAAACCCCAAAATCTAAAACCCAAAATCCTGATCCCTCTATTCTCAGACTCATCCTCGCTGCGTTACTGCTCACAGAAACTCGAAGTGACCCCAAAATTGCATCTCTGACAAACTCTTCGGTCCAGTGAACACAGCCCCTCAATCAGCAACACACTTAACACTTCTCTCTTAGGTGTAAAGTTCCGGGTTTAGGGTTTAGGGTTTAGGGTATCCGCCCAAATGTAGTTTCGACGGGCAAATGACACACTTCGGCGTTACAAGGACAAAAGTCCGTGAGGCCAAGCCGCAGTATCGTCCGTTCCCCTCGAATTCAGCCCCTATTTCGAATTTCTTACACAGCTGAGCCAAAGGCTTACATCGCTTCGTACGAGGCACTCCGGGGGCCG